CCACGCCGTCGTGCTGACGAAACTCTTCCCCGACACTTTGCTGGATCGGAGTCCGGGGATCGTCATCGAGCTGAACGTGTGCTCGAACTCGGAGGTGCCGTAGTTTCGGTGCTTGATCGGTTGGATCGTGAAGACGTACGACTACTTCCTCTACGTCGTGTCATCGCTTCCGCAGTCGGTCTGCGTTGGGTACGTAGACAACACTCTCCTCTCGTTGCTATGCATCACATGATCCTGTGTGCGCGTAGGAAATTTTTTGAAATTACTACGAAACCCAACAGCATTATCACACTCAATGCATTTAAGACATGGTGGTTCAAATCCTTCCTGAGCGGGACTGATCTGTTTGGCGTGAAGTGACTCGTTTTCCGTTTGAAGATCTTCATGAACCGCTCTCAATTTCTCAAGATCTTGCTTCCTTTGAAGATAATCATAGGAAAGCTTTTCATGAGTTGTTGAGAGAGTTTCATGATGACTTTCAAGTTCCTGATACTTAACATGAAGATTTTTTATGTCTTCAATTAAGGATTCAGATCGAGTCATTTCAGCACCTAACAGATCATCGCTTCTGTCTAACAGTTTTTGAATATGTTCCATAGCTTTCTGTTGTTCAGTTGCAATTTTAGCAAGTGTTTTGTAGCTAGGTTTTGAACCACAATCAGAGTCATCGTTGCTAGATGTTTGATAGTGAGTAGTGCGTGTGTTTACCTTGGCACCGCGTGCCATGAAGCAGTAGGTAGAAGCGGAGTAGTCCTTGTAATTTGCATCGGTGTCGGTGATGAAGTCATTGTCTTCAGTGTTGAAGATGGACTTGGCAACGTATGCTGTAGCCAGACTTGCGACGCCTGAGTCGGATTCCTCCTCAGACTCCACCTCCGCCTCCTCAGAAGCAGACTCCTCCTCTGAATCCATTTCCTTGCCAACAAACACACGTGCCTTGCCAGATGAGCTCTTCTTGTGTGATGAAGACTTTGAGGAAGACTTGGAAGAAGACTTTGAGTATTTCTTCTTCTTCTTCTTGTCGTCAGAGTCATATTCCTTGCTCTTCTTCTTCTTTTTGTTCTCATTGTCCCACTGTGGACACTCAGAGATGAAGTGGCCAAGTTTCTTGCACTTGTGACATGTTTTCTTCTTGTAGTCATGAGCAGGAGCTTCATCGTTCCTTGATCTTGATCGGAAAGACTTTCTGAAGCCTTTCTTCTTGGTGAATTTTTGGAACTTCTTGACAAGCATAGCAAGTTCCCTTCCAATGTCTTCAAGATCATCAGAACTGCTGTCAGAGGAGACAGCTTTTGCCTTCAAGGCACGAGTTCGCCCATAGTTTGGACCGTAGATATCTCTTTTCTCCAAAAGTTGAAACTCATGTGTGTTGAGCCTCTCAAGTATGTCAGACGGATCGAGTGTCTTAAAATCAGGACGTTCTTGAATCATCAGGGCCAGGATGTCAAACAAACTATCAAGTGATCTCAGCAACGTCTTGATGACTTCATGTTTGGTAATCTCAGTGGCGCCGAGGGCTTGAAGCTCATTTGTGATGTCAGTGAGTCGGTCAAATGTGTGTTGGACATTCTCATTGTCATTTCGCTTGAAGCGGTTGAAGAGGTTGCGAAGGACACTGATTCTCTGATCTCTCTGGGTTGAGATGCCTTCATTGACCTTGGAGAGCCAGTCCCAGACCAGCTTAGATGTCTTCAAAGCACTCACACGGCCATACTGTCCTTTGGTCAGATGACCACAGATGATATTCTTGGCAGTAGAGTCCAGTTGAACGAATTTCTTGACATCAGCAGCAGTGACACCTTCTCCAGCCTTGAGAACGCTGTTCTCGATGACATACCATAGGTCGACGTCAATGGCTTCAAGATGCATGCGCATCTTATTCTTTCAGTAGGGATATTCAGTTCCATCAAAGACGGGGCACGCAGCGGAGACTTTAATTATCCCTGCAGTCGACATAGCTAAAACTCCAGGTGGTTAAACCGAATCACACAAAATAAGGGAGCACCTTGCTCTGATACCAATTGAAAGTGCGTTATATCGACTAGAGGGGGGGTGAATAGGCGATTTTTATGAAAGTCTTCAGAACATAGAAGTTTTGAAGACAAACGATAAAATTAAACCTATTACCATGCAGCGGAAGGTAGACTACACTAGGCAAACCATAGTCAAGTATTCAATAAAGTGAAAGCACAAAGACTAATAGCAGCTAGGTAGTAAGGATCAGGTAGGAAGATATTGTGAAGCCAAACAGAACACGCAGTCACTCAGTGAAGACAAATGATAGTACAAACATACAATGACTTCACAAGGAGTAACAGTAAGTAAAGGAAAGTGAAGATGAAATCAGTGACTCGTTGAAAACAATGATTTGTTGGACCAGTTCCGGTTGCTGTGACAATTGTACGTCTGGTTGGAGCGGCTAGGTATTTAAACCTTAGGACACCCAGTCCTCACCGTATTCTCCTTGAGCTAAGGTCACATAGATCTCGCCCAACCACTCTGGTAAGTCTTTAAGGTAGACTCCCAAACCTTCACAGACTTCGTTCACCGGCAATCCACAATGTCTCTTGGAAGCTCAGAACGTGACGCCTAACCGGCTGGAGGATGCACAGTCCTCAAGTGTAATAAGTCTTCAGATCACACAGACAAGAAGACTTAAGTGATGCCCAATTCTCTCTGGCTCTGGTGGTTAGGGCTTTATCCTCGCAACGAATTCTCTCTCAAAGGCTTCGAGGTGGGTTGCTCTCAAACGACAAAAGTCGTACTTTCAATCTGAGCAGCCAACCGTTTATGGTTGTAGGGGGTGGGCTATTTATAGCCACTTGGCAACCCGACCTGATTTGTCCGAAATGACCCTGGGTCACTAAGAAACTGACACGTGTTCCAACAGTCAGATTTCAAACTCACACGACAACTTTACTTGGGCTACAAGCAAAGCTGACTTGTCCGACTCTGGACAAGATTCGCTCTCATAGTCTTCACTCGAAGACATAGGTTTTTGGTTTAGGCATCACTTCAGTCATTCTGACTGGTTCTCTTGGACCCCACTTAACAGTACGGTGGTTCCTATGACTCAACACAAAAGAAAAAGAACTACGAAAGATCTAAGTCTTCGAGCTCCATAGGCTTCATATAGTGTCTTTTCTTGTCATAGTCTTCAATGTGAATATCTTCATATATCACCTTTGACTTCAATGTCTTCATACAGTTTTAGGGGTCATCTCTGGTAGTAAAACCGAATCAATGAGGGACTTCTACCTGTGTTATCCTGCAATTCTCACAAACACATTAGTCCCTCAACTAGGTTTGTCGTCAATACTTCAAAACCAACTAGGGGTGGCACTAGATGCACTTACAGTTACCAAAAAAGTGGCCACATAGGGGAGGAGGCCGCAGAGTCGGGATGGAGTGAGGGACGACAACTACGAGGCCATCAGCAGGATAGGGGGGAGGGGGCGATGCGGGGTGCAACGCGGTATGACCACGGGGCCTGAGGTAGAGGAGGAGGCGGGGCTGCTCGCGAGAGCTGGAGGTGAGCAGATGGGATCGGGGGTGGGAGGAAGGCGGTGCAGATGAAATCAGGAGGACGGTTTAGTGTTATATAACGAAGATGCACGGTTTGGTCTTCCGCCCATATTCTATTATTAGTTTGACACATTAACTTGTACTCGGGGATTCGCAAATGGCCGACTTGCAATGGAGATCACATGTCATATGTATGGGCCGCCTGGTTCGGGGGCGCAACACTACTAACGGTTCCATGGAAGTACAACACTCATGATCGACATAACTACTCTATTGGTGACTTTACCCTCGGCTTGCGTGGCTTGAAGATTAGCTAACTATTTCTCCACTCGACATCATTGTTGTTAGGCTGTTAGTGAAATGGGTTGAGGAGAGAATCAATCTGCAACACTGAGTCATCAATTGATCAATAATAATGTTGTCACAATTACATATGTATTGTATCTGCATCCGCGACTGGTTTTGATGATGCCGTGAAATATATGATGTTTAGGTTGAGTATTGTAGGCTTGTTGACTGAATGATATTTTTTTTACTTAATTATGGATTTTGATGCTATAATGTTCGTGTGCTAGATTGTTGGTGTTAATTGCTTTAAAACTGGGCTTTTGGATGTGTGTGTTTTTGCGGCAGATAGAAGTGACTAAAATTTCACATTTTCAATCAATTTGTCCCCTCATTTAGCACAAATCCAAAAGAATAGGCACATGGGCATGTCATTGGAACTTGCACAATTTTAGTCGTTTTCTCCCTGATTTTAGCACAAACTCAAAATAACAGACACATGCAAGAGATTGATTTCTACTCAGCATTGATTAATTTTTAGTCGGTTTCTACCCGCCATCAACTCGGATTCAAAAGAATAGTTTCGCAAAAGAAAGATTCAAAAGAATAAGCACATGGGACAAAATGTCTAAACCTCGCACAATTTCCACTCGATTTTCTCCTCGCCTCTAACACAAATTCAGATCATTAACCGTATGCAACAGATCAACTAAAACTTATACAAATTTTGGTCAAGTTCTTCCCGCTGCAAATTTGAAAAGGTAGCAACAAAGGACAGATTGACTAAAACTTGCATTATTTCAGTTACTTCTGTCCAACAGAAGACAAAACCAGGTGCAAGATTGTAATCGGACGAACAAGGAAAATGTGACTAAAATGTCATTCTACCACCCATAAGTTACTCCCTCCGTCCGGAAATACTTGTCCTAAATATGAATAAAATGGATGTATCTATAACTAAAACAAATCTAGATACAACCATTTCTGGGACAAGTATTTCCGGATGGAGGGAGTATATAAAGTTGGAATCTGTCAATTCTACACGTAAGAATTGAAAGACTCATGAGTTAAAGCATTTGCCTCCATGGTATATATTCTTTGAACTTTATTCTCTGTATATATATCTAGCTATTTCAATATATATTTCTTGCGCATGTTGTAATGTCTGGTGCACTGAGTCAGATGATGGATCAGTTGAGCCCGACGGTGAAGGGCACGCCGGTTTGCGGCAGCCAGAAATCCCCGAGCACCATGTTGGCGACGGTGAAGTTGCCGGCGTCGACGGTGCTGTTGAGCACGTGGTACCCCGGCCAGTTCACCCTCCTGCTCGTGTCCGACCCAGCGCCGGAGTTGTCGTACTCGGCGTAGTAGAGCGTGGCGAGCGCGAAGTCGCCGCTCCACGGCATCCAGCCCGCCGGGTCGACGAGCCCGGCCACGTCCGACTGCATGATCACCGTGCGCGAGTACATCTTCCACGGCCGCCCCAGGTAGGTGGCGGTGGCGAAGGCCGTGTTGGCGGCGAGCTCCGGCGCGGCCACGATGGAGCAGCCCTGGATGGTGGCGCCCGTGTTCTGGTTCGGGTCGGAGCGGCCCTGCGCCGTGACGGTGTTGCTCTGGCCGGCCATGGGGAGGCGGTTGTAGAGCGTGCAGTCCTGGAACACGACGGCGGCGTTGCCGAAGACGTAGTCGACGGTGCCGTAGACGTCGCACGCGCGGTAGAACTGGCGGAGGGAGTGGGTGTAGAGCGTGTCCTGGTACCCCTCGAAGCTGCACTGGTAGAACGTCGAGAGGTCGGCCCCGCTCCGGAGCGCCACCGCCTGGTGCTTCGCCGGCCCCGCCGTGTTGCGGAACGTCATGTTCACCGCCACGAACCCTTGCCCGAGCACGGCTGCATGGTCGAATCTTCAAAGTTAGGACGCGCCCAGCACGTTCATCATGCAAGGCAGTAACGTAAGTGTAGTCAAGCTCACAACAGAAGCTCTAGAACATGTTGGGCAGTCGTGTCATGGGATCATGTCAATGGTAGGTACATTTCAACCGGCACTATAGAAATAGCACGGCCAAACTTTCAAACGAAGCCAAGCCAAAAGCGGAGTAAAGATAAAGGAAGCTAAATTGAGCAACGCACCGAACGTGGCGGAGTTGAAGGTGGTCCAGCCGTCGACCACGCTCCGGTTGCCGGTGATCACCGTCTGGCCGATGCCGTCGCCGACCATCATGACATACTTCTTGCTCTTGGGCACCACCACATTCTCCTCGTACACGCCCGCGGCCACGCGTATCACGAAGTACCCGCTGCTGGCGCCAAGGTTGCTCGGCGCCGCCGCCACGGCGTCCCCGACGGTCGTGTAGTTCCCCGCGCCGCTCTGGTCCACGGTCACCGCGCCGGCCACCGACACCGCCGCCACGGCCCCCTCGAGCGCCATCCTGCGCACCATCTCGTCGTCCGTGGCGTCGAACAGGCCCCTCCCGCGCTGCCGAGGCGGCTTCGCGGACGACGACGGCGCCGGCCTCGGCTTCCTGCCCTTGCCGCGGGGCACCCACGCCCGGGTGAAGAGCGAGAGCGAGATGCTGTAGAGCTTGGTGCTGTTGGCCATGGGCACGGCGAGGCCGCTGCGCACGGACCACGCCGACGCGGCGGCCTGCAGGCCGTCGGCGCACGTCTGCTGGTTGGTCAGGATGGCCGACAGCAGCGTCTGCACGTCCTCGGCCTGCGGGTTGAGGAGCGCCGACTTGGTGGTGTTCAGCGTGGCGCCGGCCGCGGAGAGGAAGTCGATGTTGAGCCCGGAGAGGAGCTGGCAGTCCTGCAGCGCGGCGACCGCGGCGCCGGAGAGGCCGCCGCGGGCGAGGTACCGGTTGACGAGGCCGAGGAACCGGTTGGCGTTGGAGAGGGACCTGGCGGCGGAGAAGCGGCCGTAGGCGTAGAGGTTGCCGGTGCCGTTGGCCGGGAGCACGGAGCGGCAGAATGCGGGGTCCGTCGTGTCGTCGCACGCCGTGGAGGGCGGCACCGGCGTGGCCGGCGGCGGGTCGGCGCGGGCCAGGAGGAAGAGCGAGAGCACGAGGAGGAAGGAGAGCGCCGCGGCAGGGTGGTACGCCGCCATGTTTGAGATGGCGATCGAGGTTGTCAAGTGCAGTGTCCCTGCTTGAGATGGCGATTGCACGAGCTGCGCCGGCCTTTTATAAGCAGATTCAGTGTGGGTGTGTGCAAGATAGGAGTCGTGGTGTTTTTGGAAGGTTGGCTGGTCTTTGGGGTCCCTGATTAAGAAACGCGTTTGGACGATGGTCGATCGGTTGGATGGCGGTGACGCCAAGGAAAAAAGAAGGAAGCACTGCTCAAGTGACAAGTCAAACCCTCGAGCTGGAGATGCATGTGATGCATTACACGGGGGAGGCGACGTTTGCATGGGTTGGTTTGGTAGGATTCAATCAAATGACACTTCTTCTTCCATGGGTTAACAAATTACAGCAACATGTATTGTGATTCATTGGACATGTGCAATGTGTGTGTTTAGGGGAATATGTAATGCGTGTTTTTTTTTGGGTTTTTTTGCGAGTAATATGTAATGCGTGTTAATCCTATGTGTGGTTGGGTTATATATCCCTGTCGGGGATTGCCAAAATAAAAACTAATAAACCAGGACAAAAATGTAAAGCGGATATGGGGCCAAAACTCAGTTGATATGTGCCAAAGCACAAAAACCATACACCATTCGTGAATGCTTCTTTTCGTGTACTATCATCTTTATCTTGCTTCTCTTAGATTTGGAGAAAACTTAATACTAACTCGGATCCATATTACTTGTCGTACTAAAGCTGCGACAAGTAACATGGATCAGAGGGGAGTAGTGCTTTCTCTACATAAAAATGTTTAATCTTCCGGGATTGCTAAATCTCAGTCGACTGAATCTAACCAAGTCTAAGTCGAAGCTATATTCATGGGATCTTACATTAACGTCCATGCAAAATTTTCATTTTTGTTTTTCTTTTTTCTTTCTTATATGTTATGTCACTTGATTTAGACTTGGTTAAGTCTTAGTCTACTGACCATAACCTTAATCTCCTAGTAGAAATAATTTTTTTACAAAATGTTTCATCCAATTAATTTAAATATAGTTTTTTGCTGAAAATATTTGTTTTTTTAGTGAACACGTAGTTAAACATAGACATACATACATGATAGTCAGACACTCACACATCATGCACTAAAATCTAGAGTCTCCGTGTTTCAGTATTAATGAAGTCATTTTCTACTAAAAGAATAGCATGCCTTAAATGAGGCATGTAGAGGATCAAACCTTCTTTTTGCATGGTAATGCATGTCTCATCAAAAAATAAAGATTCTGTTACAAGCCACGTAAACACCGAGATTACAGGGCTAAAAAGATAGGATAATCCTACGCAAAAATCCAACGCATATACCTCTCAACCATGGAAAAGGAGACAAATCACCTCTTCGCCCAAGCTCGACGTGCCCCATCGCTGATCTGCAACTTTACGAACCTCCGAAGCAGTGGTGGAGCCACCTCCCGGGGACCCTGGGCAGCTGCCCGGGCTCTGCCCAGAAATTCCCACTTGATTATAAAAGGAGATGGGGAATTAATCATCAGTTTTAGTAGGCAAATGCCCATAACCACATCTCCTTGTATTTTGCCCCGGCTCCATGTACTGGCTAGCTCCGCCACTGCTCCGAAGTAGTTTGCCTGAAGTAAAATTATTGTCGTTGAAAGAATCAGACCAGGGCAACGTGTCTCCGGACACGCCATCAAACTCCAGAACTGACACCCTCGCACGACTACGATGTCGGAGGAGAAAACCAGAACTGTCAGCCCGAGGTTTAAACATGGTGGATTAGGAGTACAACCACAATTTTATTTTTTTTGGAACCATGCAGAAGAATTGTATGTAGATTACATTTAGATTAGAAAAGAGGAGCCCAAAGAGCTCATACAAGGTTCAGCAACCATAGAAGTACATGGATCAACCCAAACAGAGACAGAGACAAGAACAAGAGAACACTCTCCTAAGTACAAAAAACAAACAACATGCCCTAGAGCCTCAGTTATCCAAAACATTTTATCTAGCCAGACTTAGCGTATATTTCATGCCTTATTTGAATCTTTAGTGTTCCTCCAATTTCGAAAACATTGCATACATGGGGCCATAGACTCCCTCCCTTCCTTGACTCAGCAGGTCAGCATCCTTGAATCAATCCTTGGTGGCTCTCTCCTAGTAGAAAACACCTTGCTTGAAGATTTGGTGGCGCCGTCAAAAAGCACTAAACCCATTTGCTCGGTGCAAAGCTGAACCTAACGAACTCCACTGTGTTTGCTGCTGATCAAGGCACAACTAACGAGATCCACACGTCCGATTACGCCAGAGTGTTGAGATTTTACAGCCACAAGAATCACATTGTATTTCTGTGGTCTCGTGCGTTCCACGCAGTTAGGCAACCACTAAGCAGATCGAATGAATGAATAGGGTCACCGCCCTAGCTAGTGCTAGTGGATTTAGTGGACGTGTTGGCGTCCGGCCGGTGGCTAAGTAACTCGTGTTACTAGCTAATTACTCTTAAACTAGTGTAGTAGCGTGCATGCATTGATCCTACTGGAACTTTAGCTTAGCGTCGACCGTGTGTTTAACTAGACCGAATTGAATCGTGCGCGCCACGGATTCGGTGGCCTCGAGTGAGCGATCCACAGCCTCTGATCGCGCGAAAAGTGAAGAATGGAGTGGTGCGGTCTACAATTCGACTGTAGTTTAACGAATCAAGATTTAGCTACCTATATACTTCCAAATTACTTGTCGCAGGTATGGATGTATCTAGATGTATTTTAGTTCTAGATACATTTATTTCTGTGACGAGTAATTTGAAACGGAGGGAGTAGATTGCCAACATTTATCGTGCACGAAATCAAACCCCAGCGGCACTCAACAGTCGACGGCGTGCGGGCTCGGAAATCTACTGGTGGAACGAGGCGAACGTGCGTACCAGAGCACGGACAACTTCAACTCTGAAATTCTTCTTCAACGTTGAGCTTCTTCCTCTACTGTGTACTAGTACGAAAGTACTAGACTATTAGAGCTTTTCACTTGTTTCTACGGCTGCCCTTGCGGTTTTACTCGGGCTTTCGACGAAATGGCAGCTGCCATGCCAAGCATAAAGCATTTCTAGCTAGCTACCCGTCGCCGATCAGCTTATTAGTCCATGGAAACAGCAACGAACTGAAGCTACTCAGACTCTGAGCAAAAGGAAATGCATGCTAGTACTAGTAGTGGAGGAGGAACTTTCAATGCTATGTGCCCGATATGGTCTGTCGGCCAAGCCTAGTGGAGGACGGTGACCCTTTGACGGCTGGCCGCATTCCAGTCTGAATCAAGTTCGGCAGATCCGGAAAACACACATCTTTTTTTGTCTCTACGTAAGAAGATGCAAACCTGCTGTGTGTCTGGACTCTGGACTCTGGAATGGAAGAGGAGAAGCGACCAAAGTCTGACCGAACGATCACATACATGAGGTCCCAGCTTGCTGAGCGCACCCTATATGCGCCAAATAATTTAGTAGTAATTCCAAAGAAAGTCAACAAACTCCATGTCTTTTTTGGAATCAAATATGATGAAGTACTAGTATTCATCCCTGCAAAAAAAAAGTATTTGTATTCATGTAAAAGTTTGGCCAACGAATGATTTCCCATCGACTTCACGCTGAAAAAATAACAAATCTATGACGACAATGTAGCATGATATAGTGTCTTTTGGGAAATCTTTAACCCAGGATACAATGAAAGTCATTCCCTGGTAAATGTGGCTGTCATCGTTACGTAATATGATTGGATAACATTTCGATTAACCAACATGTAGGAGTATTGCCAACCGACTAATGCATTGTCCCAAAACGAAAAACTCATGATCTGCAAAGTCTAGACGATCCATTGCCTGGCAACAAGGCTCTGGACCCGAACAGCTTCACGAGCGCCTTCTTCGAACGCTGTTGGGACATCATCAAATATGATGTGATGAGGGCGATAAATTACTTCTTGGGCCTTCATTCTTCACAACTGAAGTGGCTAAATTCCGACAACATTGTGCCCCTGTCCAAGAAAGTGGGGCGAAAGGCATCACCGACTATAGGCCAATTAGCCTCATTCACATCACCACAAAATCATTGTCAAGGTGCCTGCAAACTGGCTTGCTCCTCACATATGGACAACCTTGTCTCCAATGCTCAAAGCGCCTTCATAAGGAAAAGGAATATTCACAAAATTTCTCACCTTCTTAGACTCCAATGACCATGGTACCACTGGAAGGACCCTACCAAGCTTTGGGTGGGAATGGAAAACCCTTGCGATGAAGCGGACCTCGAGGTCTTCTAAGCCTCCACGAATATCATCGTGGGCAATAGAGCACGAACACCATTCTTGGACTCACCATGGGAGCAAGCCAAAAGAGATTGCACCGATCATCTTTGAGGCCTTGAAGGGGAAGCGATGGAAGGCTAGGGAGGCAATGAAAGACGATGCTTGGGTGGAGAAAATTAAGCCGCCTCATACTTGGGACTTTGGGCTTCATCATGTTATTTGTTACCCTTTGGGCGTGCCTACATAACACCCCTTTGAAACAAGGGTCTTCCAGCACAAATCTTCCCCTCCATTTGTCATCTTCAACATGATCAAGAACGATGCAGCCCTTCGGAAGTCACACACGCAAAGCATTTGGAAAATTAATGACAGGAGAGTAACAATTTTGTAACAAGGGGGACACTGTAGTATCACTCTAACTTATTATTTAATGGATGAGACTAAGCTTTTGCCTCCGTTTCCAAAAAAAAGGCGTCAGTTGCATAACACTGAATTATAATATCAAGTAGGAGGATGGCATCAGTCGCATAACACTGAATTATGGTATCAAGAAGGTACAGACACTCTAAATGCCACTGGAGGCACAAGGGTTTCAGATAGCAAACAGTACACCAATATCAGAATTCCCATAAAACAGACAAAAGCAGTCATTTTGCCAACTTACACTACATGTGGACATTTCTAGCTCCATCACTAGCTCTTGAACAAAGAGGTAGCTGTTCATCACACAAGGGTCATCGGCTGAGGTCGATTGAGTTGTTATGCCGCAACTGGATGCCTGATGATCCCACGCCCTTCATCGAGGACAAAGCTGTTGTCACTGAAGTGAGAGCTGGAGAAGAACGGCCTCAGGTCGTAGATCTCATATTCTTGGGCCTGGATTCATAGACAAGAACATCAGCACACTGACAGACAGCGGAGGGACATGCAGCAGTATTGCTCGGGCAACGAAGAATCATGGACACAGGTGTTCATAGCTCTTACCTTGTTCTTCAGGTCATCCACTTTAACCTCAACGTGAGTCAGGCGTGTGGTTGATCCAGACACGATTTCTTCAAAGTGCAGCGCCTCCTTGACCAGGGTGCGCAGAAGGAGCAGAAGCAGTTCATTGTAATCCTTCTTGTACGTCATGTACTTCCGGAAATTCTGCAGAGACAACAGAAGTTTGTTAAAAACTACCAACTAGGCAAAAAGAGAAGCAAGATTTTTACTCTGAATATAAGATCATTGAGTATCAAGACATATCATGCAAATGAATGAATTTGCTAACAGAACTGCATTAGGTAGTCCACTTCAGTTCAAACCAACATATATATATATATATACTTTGGCACTAGTGGGAAACACAACAGCAGTTAAGTTCAACTGTTCAAAAGTTACCTTCTGAAGTGCTTTCTGGACACCAAATTTCTGGGTTGAGATGAACGAGTCAAGCAGCACACGAATGGCCATGTCCACATCTTCCTGAGACACATAGCTTCGCAGATGCATCTTTGCATGTGCCTCAGACATTCGAATGATTGATTCGATATGCCTTACTGCAATGGGGACTCCTTGACCGTGCTGCAAAAAAGAGTTGCAAACAATTACTTCCTGGTTTTCAAGAATATTAATTTTCAAATATTTGACCTAATCATTCAACAAGGCTAGGAAAAGTGGTGGCTTACAGATGATTCACGTCGAAGTTCAGCATAGACATGGCTGATCTTGTCAAGGTCAGCATCATGTATTTTGGGGAATACATTCAACTTAGCATATGTGATATACTTCTTCAGCATGTCTTGAGAAAGGATCTGGCAAAGGAGGATTTTGTTAGAGGTGCAAATTTGAGTAAAATGTTAGCTTCTTACAGACAAGTGCAAGGGATAAGTACATCTGGGTCAGCATTCCGGGCAACAGTCAATGGATCATCCTCCTCATCAGCTACAACTCTATCTTCAAGATTACCACCCTTGGGCTGAGATCTGGCATGGCTATCTACAACAAACCTTGCAAGCATTTCATCCGTAAATGGGTCAACAATATCCTGCATTGCAGTAAGAAAACTCAGTATTGACAGACAACCAAGCACTGGACAAAATATATTACATGGAGAACTACAAACCTTAACAACACAGAGGACATCAAAACGTGAAATGATTGGATCTGTTAGTTCAACATTTTGAGTGAATGTCTTCGAAGAATCATATCTGCAAAGTCAACATGTTGAGGATCAAGATGTTGCCTAACAAGAGTGCAAGTATAACTAGCATTGCAAGTAATTCAGCTTACCTTCCTCCAACTGGGTTTGCTGCAGCAATAACACTGCATCGAGCTTGAAGGGATGTGACGATCCCTGCCTTTGATATGCTGATACTTTGTTGCTCCATGGCTTCATGAATACTTACCCTGGAACAATCAGCAGGAAATAAATTAATATTCAGCACACTGAAACATTAAATGCTAATCATGCAACATCAAAAGGGTATTTCATACCTATCTTGATCATTCATCTTATCAAATTCATCAATAAGGCATATGCCTCTATCAGCAAGAACCAGTGCACCTCCCTCAAGGGTCCACTCCCGTGTTACTGGATCCTTGTGAACTGCTGCTGTGAGTCCAACAGCAGAAGCTCCTTTCCCAGTTGTGTATACAGCCCTGTGTCCTGTTTTCTCAACATACCTACAGAACAACAGTTAGTGGAGAATTATCTTACAAGGAACTGATGAAAAAGATTTATTCCACTTTATCCTTACTTGAGAAATTGGGATTTCGCAGTGCCTGGGTCACCCAAGAGGAGACAGTTAATATCACCTCTTAGGCGATGCTTTCCCTTCACGTTCTTTTCTTGCCCGCCAAACATAGCTAGTGCAATGGCAGTCTTGATATCTTCATGACCATAAATGGATGGTGCAATTGATTTGACAATCTGTAAACCCAAAGTTCTGGTTGTTAACAAGGCTAGTTATCTATCATAGTCACTGGAAGAGATTTACGGATTCAGGGACAAACCCTTTCACTGATACGAGGATCCTTCGACAACTTCTCAATCTCAGCCTTGTCCTCATCTGTTAATTTGTATGCAGAGAACAGATCCTGCTTCTTTGATACATAGTTTGCCTCCACCACTGTGGCAAAAACTGGGAAACCATTCTTTGTATTTAAAGACAGGTCGAAATTGTTTGTGTATATCCCTGTAACCTCCTGAAATGGATAATAAGTATTAATCAACATGTTCTTTCTAGAGTAATATATAAGAACCAATAAGAGTCTGGAGAGCATTACAATTTCCTCTCCTGGACGAGCACAGTCAATCAGATCATTCAGAAGTATTACTTCCTTGTACCTGGGAAGCCTGCCAGCAGGAACAATCCCTGGGCTTTCCTGAAGAGTGAGTTTCTGATAGTTCCTGTATATAGTCTTCCAAAGGAAAATACTTCAGCCATGCATACCAAATGAAGAAAAATCAATATCATGCAAGGAGAAAAATAGTACTACTAAGCTTAACTGTTTAATGTTACTTACTTGCTCAACGTTGACAGTAAATGGACCTTTGGATTGGCATTCAGGGCAAGACCCAACCCTTACTTCAGTGTAAGAGTTCTGGAAGAAAGGACCCAGGACAGTTCCACATTTGCTACAGTCATACTTGACCTGCTGCAGCTGAGGGAACACACCTGACCTTCGAGTAACAACACCCCCGATTCGAATCATTGTGTTCAGATGAATTTGCCTGAACAATGACAACTAGGATTAAGGACATAAATTTAATTTGGGGGCTAAGAGATAACATGGTAAAAAGGTGTTCTCTACCTGATATTGCGTATTTGATCATAGACAGGAAGGTTGGTGATTCGCACATATATTTTCTGATGGATGTTTCTGTAATTCTTGTGGAGATCAAAAACAACATTTTTGCCCACTTCCTCCATAACCTCCAGCACTGATTGAGGTGCATCAGCCAACCAGATGGCAATGTTTGGGTGTATATAAATAAATTGCTTGTAGTCTATCTCCAAACTACACTTGTTAGCTGCAAAACATGGAAGTAAAGGTTACAAGATGCCAATTGTTATAACCAGTATAGTGCAGCCTCTTTCATGTAAACTGGGAAAGTGGAGAAAAACAGTACCTAAAACCATCTCATTAATTAGTCTGACATATTCAAACTCTCCTTGTTCATTCTTAGGGTTTACATATGTAAGAAGAAATTCTTTAAATTTCTTTGCAATGAAGCGCCTGACTTCATCTCTTGTGACCCACTCTCTAAGTGTTCCTTGCACACGATACATGTTCATCTCATCTTCTTCATCAAATTCATCCTGCAGAAAATATAACCATTTGAAAACTGGACAACCATACAGGCCCTTCAAACATGAGTTGCCTACTTCAACTGAAATATCTAGAAAATAGGAACAAAATTAATTGCAAATGCTAAACAACAGCATGACTAATTTCCACTCAAACTGAAAATACCTCATATCCATCATCATCAGTCTGATCAGTCATAGGCACATCACCACCAGAATATGGCTGAGATCTTCCAGGTGAACTAGGAGTGAGACCATCACCATCATCATCACTTCTGGGTGTTCTTGGTCCTCCACTTGGTTGTCTAAAATTAGCCCTGTGCCTTTTAGGACGCCTAAAGTTAATATCCTCATCTGTATCTGCACAATTAAAAAATGTTGTCTTTAATTTACAATGGCTGACATCCAAGCATTTGCTTTTTATGTTATTGATCAAGGATACCCACTACAGAGGAAAACTCACAAGTCATAACCATCCATATGAGGATACTATTACTAAGATCTTCAAGCAAATCCAAGCTTGCTTATTTTTGTATACATAGTGACCCTGATTTTTGAAGATACATCACATCTTTTGATAAATGGATGACGGTCAGAAAAATACACAATGTAAATATGATACTACTTATTGATATTTTCAGAAAAAATCAGCATTATTATATGGGCTTCAAAGTTCCTACCCATGACACTTCTATCAAACTTGAAACCACAAAGGAAAAAATATGCTCATTTCAACCATACTAAAAAAGGAACATTTCACCACAACAATATGAAAAATAAACATAACCCAAATACTCAAGCAGCAATTCAAACAAACAGAATATAAGTGCAAAGGAAAAAAGGTAAGGTTTGTCCTAATACACCATAGAAAATAAGAACTGTGTGTAATGCCATTACCCTGATCATGAAGCATACGAGGCAATTTTCGATCAGCTGTTGCACCAGTCCTCACATCCCTTGCATGAAGTTCCGCTTCTGCAGCCCTTCGATCAGCCATGATCTCATCCAGGTTCCTCTCATCCTCTATTGAGTCATCTAACCCAACTGACTCATACTGGTCCTGCTCATCCATTCTTCGGTAATCACTGCAAAAGGTGGGGAAAAAATAAGAGGACTAGCAAGAACTTCACAATTTCGAACATGTTTGTGTTTGTTTGAGGTATGGCTTATTTCATACACACTAAAACATGCAATCCTATAGTTAACTTAACTATCTTGAAACCAAACTGTATGGCAAAATGAATTATTACTCAACAATGCAGTTTCCAAGATATCAACAAATCCACAAAGTAAAAAAAACACTAGCAAAACTGGACAGCAGACAACTGATCAACAAATCCTATTCAGACAACCATTTTCATCAAAAAGGGATAGGACATGACAGGCACCAGTTCATATAGGCAACTGAAATTGGTAAACTGAAATATAACCGAACAAATTACTGAGCACAAACACAAGGTTTTAATATTCAATACTGGAAAGCAGGTTAGCAGACATTTCTACATTGTAAAGTTCAAGGAACTAACAAAACATTAAAGGTAACAAAAAAGACACAATCAGGTGAAGTGTTTGACTATTCCCTTGTCTGTGCCACAAATCTGCCTATTTATGAAGTAAATCTAGGCCGCAATCCCTAGATTCTCAACCACCAAAAGTCGCTGAATAATCAATTTATTGCCAGATTTAACGGACTAAACCTGTCAACTACTAGTAGAAACACCTAAACGCTGTCCCAAATAACACTAGATCCGGAAAATCTCCGGCTCAGACGTTTCTGTCTTACTTGAGGTAGTCGTCGTTGAAGAGGTCCTCCCCGTCGTCTTCCTCCTCGTCGCGGATAACGGTGGCGCCGTCGTCCTCGGGGAGCACGTTGGGGTCGACCTCCGCCTCGCCATCGTCGTCCGAGTAGGAGGACGGGTCGGTGGCGCCGCGGCTGGTGGTGGTGTTGGGCGGCAGCCGGTCGGTGCTGAAGCCCGGCGAGCCCGGGGTCGACGGCGCGTTGTTCTCCGAGTCGTCCTGGGAAAAGCAAATCAGCCGGCGAGAAGGTTAGATCCGGAGGCGGCGGCGGCCGCGCGGGGCGGCGGCGTGGGTCGGGGAGAGAGGGGAAGCTGGGGGAGACGGGCCGCTTACCATCCGCGGGGTCGGAGGAGGCTCCGGTGGAGGACGCGTGCGGCTGTGCGCCGAGGCTAGGGTTTCGGCGGGAAGGGGGGAATGGTGGGGAGAGACTGTGTTTCGGCGGGAAGGGGATATATTGGGGGAGAGGGAGAGAGGGTTTCGGCGGGAAGGTGGGGTGGGTGATGGCGGGAACGGCAGGCGGTACCGGGGTCGTTGTGATGCAACAAATGGGCCGAAAGCCTTGTGCCATCGTGGGCTGAGAGTTGGGAGAAGCCTAAGGTGACCCACCCAACACCTCTGCGTTGCCTCCGTAAGCCCAGGACCATACTGAGCCTTTGCACAGGTGCGGTACATAGTCCTCTAAGCTATATAACGCCTACTGCGACGCTACCTTCCATCTCGCCGGAAGTTTTTTCGCGCCTGCTAGGCCGGCCCGGACCAATAGGATAGAGGTTTTACGCGCGTTTTTTTCTCTACTGTGTGTTTTCTGTGTTGGTTTTATTTGGTTTTCTTGCGGGTTCTGGTTTTTTATGTTTATTTCGGTTTTCTGTGGCAGTTTTCAATGGTTTTCTTTTGGGTTTTGGTTTGAAGTGTTTTTTTACATATTTCTTGGGGTCTTTTTCAACATAAATTCTAGATCGTGTGCGCACACAATTTGATGAAAATGAGTGGCCGAGCTACGCGACAAAACAAACTCAAACAAGATTGCGACACTCTGCATGCATGCGTGAAGGCTTAGTGGGTTTTTTTTTTGCAGACGTACGAGGCCATCATACATGAGTTGCATGCAACCTTACGTGTATTTTCACATAAAATCAAAAGGTCATGTCTTTTAACCCCGCATCAGAATTAATATCCTTTTTCGTTGTTAGGATCCTCTTGACGTTAATGGACAAAAAAAATCAATGTCAACTTTGGTGTGATATGGTGCGACCTTATTACTACATGCTGCAATTTTAGTACTACATAGTGCATTTTTTTTCAAAATCAATTTTGAAGTGGCATACTCCAACCTCCTATGAGGTTGCAACGTAACAAACATGGCAACCAACTTTTTGTGACATGTAAATAGTCTGTTGCCCGGCTAACTACCTAGTAGTAGATGTGCAACTCATGTCCCTACTTGTAGATGTGATGTGTAGTTTTCACTATTGGCACACCCTATCCCACCAATGCTACCAATGATAGGGGCAACTTAGTCTCTTTTTTGAGCCGATTGCCTAGTAGTTCATGTGCAACTCCTTCCCTTCCCTATTTGTGGATGTATAGTTTCAGTTGATGGGGCCAACATATGAAAAGTTGCACATAGTTTGTTAAGCAATTGGTGGGGCAACAAATTAAGTTGCTTATCTCACTGGCAGAGATAGTTGGATGGTGAAAACTGCACATTCATGAGGGCAGTGAAAAAATTCATATAGGCAGGGCACAAAAGTTGCACATATCAATAGCGGCGGTGGTTTGGACGGGGCGCTAGCAGATAAAACTACATGTCCACAGAGTGTGGGGGGAAGTTGCGCATCACTGTTAGGCATTTGGTTGGGGCAGCATCTAAAGTTGCACATCTACTGCTAAGTAGTTGGCCAATGCAGCAAACAATGAAAACTGCGCATCCACGAGCAGGAGAAAGTTGCACATCGACTACTAGGCAGTTGATCTAGGCAACAGACAAAGTTGGGCATCTCACTGCTAGGGGTTGTTTGGGATGAAGATGTGATACGTGCATTTTGCAACATTATTTCTTACTGTAGTTTATCCTACTAATGATGTATTTCACAACATGGTGCAAGCTTTCTCTCTTAAAATGCAAGTTATAAAAAGAGAGAGGGGTTAATAGCAGCTGAAATTCTGAGCCTGAAATAGCAACATAAGATAAAGCAATTATTTGAAGCTCAAAACGGTGGATTCTTAGAGAATTATTTTGGAATATATTTTGTAAGAGACTGTTTTGAGTCCAATTGTTCAATGACATGGTTATATTTATCTTAATTATTTCTCTTGTAGTTGTGGGGGCTTGCATGGAGAGTATAATCATGAATAGGTATTAGTTCAAGTTGGGACAATACCTTAGCTCTGGTCCATCTAGGCCAATGTAAGTCGATGAATGATGGTGAAAGTAACTTGGCGATATTTCCATGTGTCCTCAAGATCATTTTGATCACTATAAAAAGTACAACTGGCTTGTCCTTATCACAATTAAGGATCGAGTCACTTGCCAGGCCTTACTATGTTTGTTACTTGTTACCTTGTTGCAAATTATCTTGCTATCAAAATATATATTAAACTTTTTTACAACACTTGCGGTGAAAACCTTACTACAAACTGCCTATCAAATTCATCTGCTCATCGTTGGGTTCAACACCCTTACTTGTTGAAAGGACTATGATTGATCTCCTATACTCGTGGCCATCAAGGTACCATCGATGAATACTGCATGTCCACGGGTATGGGGAAATTGCAAGGCGACTGTCAGGCAGTTGCACATCAAACGCTACATAGTTGCACCTCGTGAAACATACTATACATAATCTAGTTTCAAAAAGCACATCACGGTGATTCAAACAGTGAAAACAGATCATAATTTTGATGCACACTTTGGAGTTATGCCTTTTTTAATTTTCAAAACCGTGAATTGAATGAAAAACATCACAAAACACATGCATCGTAGGGTGATCGTGGGAGCATCCAACAAGTTGGGAAAAAAGGGAAACAGATGAAAAAGCTTTTCTAGCTAAGGAAGGGGACAAAAATGTTTCCTAAAATGACCAACTGCCGGGGAGCACTAGGGGACAACCATTTGCCCGCTAGATGTGTCTTCTTCTCAACACATGATTACTTTTTCACACACGCCGTACATTTTTGTATACAGCAGAAATAATTTTAATACCTATTTATCTTTTTTTAATCTGTTTTTTCAAACATATGTTGTGATGTGCATTTTTCATACACATTGCATATTTTCGTATATATTTGAAAAAATATACACGTTTAATATTTTTAAAATAAAATGATTTTTAAGTACACATTTATAATATATTTTAAAAATACGTGTTAAAAATATTTCAAATGCGCCTTGATTTTTTTTAATGACGGTAATTTTTTTAGTTGTGCGAACATTCCTTTACATTTGAATATTTTTTTAGGATGTCATGAATATATTTTTGAAACACATGAATATTTTTTTAATTATATAGGAAATTACTTTTGAATTACAAGAACATTTTATATGTACATTGTATACACATTTTTGAAAAATGTCAAGTATATTTTTTAAAGCGTGTTGTCAGTCCTAACCGAGGGGGTCTTTGCCACTTGAGTTCCCGGTCT